CAGCCAGTAATTTTGGCGAAGAGGCCTTTTGAATTTTCAATATACTAACGTTCTAAATCACAGAGTTGCAAAGTAAACATGTCCTAATATCAACTTTGCAAAGTAATTTTAATCCTAAAGTCGTAAATTGTTGATTAAATTTCTAAAGCTGACTTTTTGTGAATGGAAATTGTGTTTTTCTAATATTTTACCGGAAAATTTACAAATATATGTAATTTTCACAGCCTTGGACTGTGCAATATTCTACAAATAGCCGATGATTGTTATGAATGCGACAAACAAATGACACATGCCTATGGTTTTTCTTCAATAATTTTTTCATCGGAAAGTAAATCGCTTTAACTTAGTTTTCCCGTTGGAAAGGATAGATAGGCGCACCGAAACGTAACATCCATTTATCAAAATTAATAATTATAGTTCCTAAAATTACACAAAAGATACTGACCTCATTTGCTTCTCCGCTTCGTATCCGCCATTTTTTCGGTTGCAAAGTAAAATACGACTTTGCAAAGTAAATTAGGCTGGACCCCTTGAATACACTTGTCTGTATCACAATACTTCCAAGGAAATTCCCTTTCCTAAACTAAAATATATTAAGTACAGCGTTAACTCCCTGCCCCTTTTTCCTTTTTTTTTTACGGATTCCATTTTACAAATATTTCATACTAGTGTTTGTTTTCATAAATTCATAATTTTTCATGTAAAAAGCAGGTATTATCTTAAATGGTAAATAAAGATATCTAATAAACAAAATTTTATTTACTCGACTATTAGTTAAATTTTACAGCATGGTTAATTTATGCTATTGGTATACATTCTTCAGTAACTGTTGTAATAGTGAATTGTAACTCACCGTAATTTAGACTAATGAAAATGCCAAAACTGAGGCTCAGACTGCTCCAAGTTTGTAATTTTATGCTAGTCTTCTTTGAGGTATATTTACATATAAATATACCTCGCTGAGGTATTTAAATCATGTGACCTGGTAACAGGTAAATATTTAGAACAAAGACAAGGAAGTAAATTGTGATGTACGGGATTATCAGGGAGGCCATGTTGGATTTAGAGGTGAGGCTGTATTATATTAAGGAAATTTAACTTGCTGCAAAACATTTCCAGATATCATTATTGATCTCAAGTCTAGTACAATAGTACGTACGTATAATACATTAGATAAATTGCATGAGAGGGCCACTTTAGATAGATTAGATAAATTATATTTATTAACTACATGAACTGTTTTGACTGTTATCTAACATTTTTTCCTGATTTTTTAAAATCAAAAATAAGAAAAGTTTACATGCCAATTTAAAACTACAAATAGACCCTTCCTGTTATTTCTAAACCTACACTGTCTAACAATTTCTCTAACAAAACAACTCTTTTATATTGTATTTATTCAAAATTGCTTAACATTTCTGTAGTGAGTGACCCCTGCCTCCATTTACTTTAAACAGGGCCATCTGATGTTTTGACCCAACCCCCAGTGATGGACCCCCTGGACAGAGCTCAAGTTCTTCTCCTCTGTGACCTGTGTCAAAAAGCTCCATTACAGGATCACTGTGAACTTTGTCAGATTAACCTGTGTAAGGCCTGTGTAGGGGAGCATCTCTCTGATTCATCTCAAAGACACAAAGTTGTGCCATACAAACACAGAACTTCTACTCCTAACTACCCAAAATGTCCAAACCACACCCAGAAACATTGTGAACTTTACTGTGAGAAATGTGACATTCCTGTCTGTTCTACCTGCATCTCCTTGGGTAAACATCATGGTCATGAATTCAAAGATATCTTGCAGAAACCAAGCTTTATGAAAGAATTTTTTACGACGGATCTGGAAGAACTAGAGAAAAGAATATTACCTACTTATGAAGAAATTTCATCAGATCTATACTCTGAAAAAGTAAAGTTGGAAAAGAATTATGAGAAACTGACATCAGCTGTCACCAAACAAGGAGAAGACTGGCACAGAGAAATTAACATCATTGTCAACAAACAAAAATCTGAAATTGATGAGATGAAAACGAAAAAACTGGCTGCTCTAAATAAACAGGAAAAAGAAATTAAACAGATTACTTCTGAAGTAAAACAGAGCATACTTGATCTGAAGAAAATACTGGTCTCTAATGATATCTCCCTAACCTCTGGATACAGATCCAGGAATGCTGAATTCAGAAGTTTACTTCCTAAAGTCAACGTATCATTACCAAGTTATTCTCCTCATCAGATCAACACAGATCAGCTCCATCAAATGTTTGGTTCTCTGTCAGCATTATCCATTACAACAGAAGAACATGGCTACACAATGAAGACACCAGAAGCTGTATCCTGTCCTCCAGTCAAACCACTGCTTGATGAACCAGAGCTCATCACCACCATAGACACTCGGTATAAATTATCGCTTTACAGTGTTACTTGTCTCAATGATGCAGAAATCTGGACATGTGGATTAGACAAAATCATGAAACTCTACAACCTCCAGGGCAAACTACTGAAGTCAATCCAAACCAAATCAGGGGACACACCACAAGACATAGCAGTTACAAGGAGTGGAGATCTAGTTTATACTGACTCTAAGACAAGAACTGTAAACATAGTGAAGAATAAAAAGATACAGGAAGTGATCCGACTAGAGGGATGGATACCTATCAATGTCTGTAGTACCTCCTCTGGTGACCTCCTGGTTACCATGGTCAGTGATGATGATAATGAACAATCAAAAGTTGTCCGTTACTCTGGTTCCACTGAGAAACAAACCATTCAGTTTGCTAGTGAAGGTAAACCTCTGTATTCATCTGGTAACTTTACTAAATACATCAGTGAGAACAGGAACCTGAATATCTGTGTGGCTGACTTTAAAGCCAGTGCAGTAGTGGTGGTTAATCAGGCAGGAACACCTCGATTTAAATACACTGGTCATCCCTCTACTAAAAAGGGATCATTTGGACCAGTCGGCATCACAACAGACAGCCAGAGTCAGATCCTGACAGCAGACTGCGACAACAACTGTATCCACATCCTAGATCAGGATGGACAGTTTCTCCGTTACATTGGTAACTGTGGTCTAAAGCTTCCAAGGGGTTTATGTGAAGACGCCACTGACAACCTCTTTGTGACCGAGTTGAACAGTGGTAAAGTGAAGAAAATCAAATACATGTAAAACATTGTATTTTAAATTTGTGAGAGAGACTTTTTCCAAAATCACAAGAATTTATAGTTTGATTCAGGTTCACTTTCTCGTGTTCATATGTTTGTGTAAAATAATTTAAATAATATATTATCAATAAGGTATAAAATATAAATTATAATTCATAAACAATTTTGAGACGACTGCTCAATAAAGACCCAACATAAGAAGAAACTTTCAATATCTCTTAAAAATACTATTTCCTGTGATTTCATCAATTTTCGTTGCCATCATGGATTTTGTAAAAAAGACGTTTTCAAGGATACACAATTTTGAGGACTAAATCATTGCCTATTCAAATAAATATTGTATTTCTCAATTCAAAGAACATTGAATTTCGTGGATCTGCTCTTCAACAAATTCCTCAAAAATTGGTGCTCAACAAATATTGATAAAACCACAGTGTATTTGTGAGCATGAAGAAAGAAAAAATATTATTATGTACATTTTTATCAATTTGACCCTCTAGCTATTATGCACTGCACATTGTGGAGTTCTGATTATACTGGACGTATACGTACTAGAATAATATGCCCTTTGATCTAAAATAAATCTAAATCCTTTTAATCTAGTGATATGTTACTTAAAATAAATTAATTAAACACTTTATTAGAATTTTTTCTTGGACACATTGGACACAAAATAACGCAGGATTTGACTGTGTATGTAATCCCAAAACAATCACAAGATATCTGATTCAGAAACTTTTCTTTGTAGATGTTTTCATTTTATTTTTAATTCACATAAATCTTGAATAACACATAGGCACTTGGGGTATGGACCCCCCCCCCCTTTCAATTTTTTTTTTCTTTTTAAATCAGGATTCAAGTCATCTTTTTTTCTCTTTTTTTATTCTAATATGCACTATATGTTATCAAAAATGCAACTCTTTTGTCTCTACAAGTTGTTTTTAAAAATGCCGTTTTCCACTGATACATATAAAGAGAGAAGGCTTGCAACTCTTTCTAGTCATCCGCCTCACCACGCTCAAACTTCGCTCGATTATCTATCTAAATCAGTATAAAACATGGGATATGCTTACATCAATAAATTTGTTATACATTCCTCTTCCTTTTTACATTTCCATTTAATTTTTTTATGCCCCCGATTTGTAAATATTTCGATGAAATCGGGTAAATTTTGTTCATGTGCATGTGTACTTTGGGTCAGGGGTACTTGTGCTAGGGTGGGGCTAAATAAGTATATAATGAAAATGCATTATTTTTTTGAAAATCTTCTTCTCTGGTCCTGGGTATTAAATAAACTAATTAAGTATATAGTTATAATTAGCAAGAGTGCCTCTACCAAAATTGGGAATTTTATGGCCGCAGGGTCAGGGGTTCTAGTGTTAGGGCGGGGCTCTATTAATTATTTAGAGAAAATTCATGAATTCTTTGAAAATCTTCTTCTTTGCTCCTAGGTTTTAAATAAACTAAGTACATAGTTATAATGAGCAAGTGTGCCTCTACCAAAATTGTGAATGTTTTGGCCCCACAGTCAGGGGTTCTGGTGTTAGGGTGGGGCTCTATTGATTATATGGAGATAATACAAGAATTCTTTGAAAATCTTCTTCTCTGCTCCTACATTTAATATAAACTAACTACGTACATAGTTATGATGAGAAAGAGTGCCTCTACCAAAATTGTGAATATTATGGCACTATAGGGTCAGGGGTTCTAGGGTTGGGGGGATACATACATACTTTGAACATTTTTTAATTAAACTTTAGAAAAACAATACTACCATAAAAATGACATAATGAACAAAATCTGCTTCCACAAATGCATAAACATAACAGTATTTACCTCTTGAGTTAGCTCGTGTCAGTACCGCTGTAGTTAGAGCTAGTTCACGTAGAGCAGGGAGACTTAAACTGTGCTGCCTGTCTCATTGAATTCCGTGGAAAACTTCTCTGTGAGATCAGATAAACTGCATCACCTATAACAGCATGGAATAATGAACATTACTGTAAAATGTAAAATTGCAATGTTTGTGGGGGTCTAATATTTCTGGATTCCGTGGGTCATTCTTACCCATAAAACTACATTACCATGACAGTATTTTTTAAATGTATCAATTACTCGATTCTAGTCTATTTTTAAGTATGCTATGAAATTATGTCTACAAGAACGTGTAAATTGATACTGATACCCATAAGTCAAAGCATGACAAATTCTACTTGATATGCAGACTTTCTAGGGAACTATCTAAATAAAGCTTTGAGTCCATGAGGGGCTCTGCATTAAACAAATAAAGCTGTACAAACTATTTACCTGATTGCCACAGTCCTGGTTTTCTATGCCCAGTGAGGTCAGCATGGCCAGACAGAATTTGAGGGCGGCGAAGAGGAGTTGACGATAACGGGCCATGGGGCTGGGCAGGAAGTCCTCCTCTGTATCTACACCGGCTTCATCTCTGTAAAACGTACAATACGGTCTATAATCAATGCAAGTATGAATTCCTCGGGCAATACTTACAAATTAAAACTTTTAATCCTTATTTAGTGTATATACAAACCTCCAAACTGTAAATCCTAAACTGCTATTTGATAATTTTGTACCTTTTCATACATACTTTGACATGTTTGATTTCTACAGATATTCACAAGAACCTGACACACCCACCTGTCAAAGTTACGTCGAAGGTCAAAGAAGACACATCCCGCCAGTCTCTGCATGACTCCACACTGTAACAAGGTGTGGGCCCCCACGGCTGACTCTGCCACCCGAGTCAACAAACTGAAACACACATTCACTTTGTTTTTATATGTCAGAGCCCTTAAATTTCATATCAATATTGAAAATCAATGGACTACTGCTAAATCAAAAATTTTGATTGAGTTACAGATTAAAGTTTTATTGTATGCAAAATTACAAATGTGGGGGTAAAATAAGATAGTAATGGAAGACCTACAACTTTGGACAGATAGATGTACAGCACTCCTCCTTACCTGTCCTACGTACATCATGTCCATCACACGCGTCGCGACACACCATATTGTCCATAAAGTTGACACCGTACGACAGAATGGTCGCCACATTTTCACGTCTCAGCTGTTCATACTCAGAGTTGGTGTCGGCCAAAATCTTCTTTCCAACCCCATCACCTCCTGCCTCTGTCAGATAAAGGAAACATCGTTATCAGCCTTTGTCATATAGTGTGGCAAATCAGTGGTTTTTAGTAAATAAATAATTGATAAAGAATATTTATTTATCTCAAATTGTTTCATAGTTTTTATTGCCATCATTGCATTGCTTAATACTAATTCCGACTGGCTGACCTTTTCAACCTTTGACATTATGTGTAACGTAGTTTTATTGGCCAAGGGTTTTGGCGGTAGGTTTTCTATTGTTCAATGTGATGTGCAGGGGCACTTCCTTCTCACAGGGACAGCCAACGATACCGGCTGTGAGAAGAGTCTGTCTCGACCCTTACATATTCAACAATATACATTAATTATTTTGTGTTTTACAAGATTTCTATTCGAGTATTAGTAATATACAGATCACATTCAGTTCAGTGTACATTAATATTTGAACAACTTAATTGTTACCAGCTTCTTGTAGCAGTCAGCCTGATTCCATAAATTGGTACGCTATGTAAAAAAAAAAGTAATTTACATTTTTTTTTTACCATTTTTGATATACTTTGATAAATTATTCAAACTTACATACATTTCTATCTAAACAGGATTTTGGTAATTCTGTAAATTGTAAGAGTTATTTCTCTTTATACATATTCATGAATTTGGAACATTTATAATCTGTTAAATCTATTTTTATTTAAATCCGTGTCAATGTATGAGAACTGCATTAAACTGAATATATTGTTTGATTTCATTTACTTATTAAATTGTTTTTTTTTATTTTATTTCACTTGATTGATTGTTTATATGTGGAACAAGATCACGGCAATAAAGAATCCATACCCAATACACTGTGTTCATATCATTCATCAATATGACACGGTCACAATAGTAGTTTATGTTTTTATTTCATATAATATCTCACTTGAAGAGCATGACTGTATTCTATAAATTACATACAATTTTATCTTGATCTATGTATGCCTCAAAGTAAGAGCTAGGAAAATCTGTGGAGTTTTGTTGATATTCAGGCTTTGACATCTTACTTTGAATTAGGCTATATTCTTAAACAAGACACATGACATCTACTTAGACATACCTGTATCTATGTGAGTCAGTGAATTGGGTTTCTGACGGCAGGGCCCCATATAGATTGGCTCTTACCCTCTGCTGGCCACCAGACCTTAACAGAATTAGATATTGATTAAAATTTCTTAGTTTTGAACAAAGTTGTTGGAAATTATTGTTTTATAAACATGCACTTGAAAAATTTCTTTTCAGCAAAAAAGTATGTACATAATTATACACTTCAGATATTTCAATGTGTTCTTACTTGAAAGCAGAATGTGATCTATCACTCCTTTAAGCTCCATTTGAAGGGAGGAAGCAAATCGGGTTCATGACCCTGACACTTGACCCCATGACCCTGTTTGACCTTGACCTGCTGTAGAGTCCAGCATGGTGAGGAAGTGTGAGGTTTCGTCGTCGGAGACAGAATCCTGACAGAAACACTGACGTAGATTTGTCATCAGAGTAAGGATGATCCCAGCCACAGGGGCAGTTAACTCTGTCAAGGCATCATCTTCAGTCACCTAATAATAATGAGTAGATTGATGTTAAATGTAGTATTAGTGGACGCAATCCTACAACTTTTTTTCTCTGTAAAATCAAAATTTTCCTTCCCTTTCCCCAAATGAAAGCAATTTCAGAATGGATATTTGTGATAAAAGGAAAATGTTATCACAGTACCATTTTTCCATACGTCTTTTTGCAAGATTTCCACTTTAACCTTAAGTATACAGATGAAATTTGGCCAATACCTGGCAGTAGTAAGATGCTCATGTTCTTGTGCATTAATACCAGATACTTTAGGGTCAGTAAACAAGACATACAGATGCAGTTGTTTTACCTTTCTCTGTAGTTCCTGTAGCAGCTCAAACAGTACGGTCTGTCTGTCCTCAGCGGTCAGTAGGTCCTCAGGACACACGGTCAACAGAACCTCCGTCACCTGACACCACACCTCCAGAGCCTGCTGTTTGGTGGATAGTTCCTGGTGGATCCTGACACCACGCCTCCAGAGCCTGCTGTTTGGTGGATAGTTCCTGGTGGATTCTGACACCACACCTCCAGAGCCTGCTGTTTGGTGGACAGTTCCTGGTGGATTCTGACAACACGCCTTCAGAGCCTGCTGTTTGGTGGACAGTTCCTGGTGGATCCTGACACCACGCCTCCAGAGCCTGTTGTTTGGTGGACAGTTCCTGGTGGATTCTGACATCACACCTCCAGAGCCTGTTGTTTGGTGGACAGTTCCTGGTGAATTCTGACACCACACCTCCAGAGCCTGTTGTTTGGGGGACATTTCCTGGTGAATTCTGACACCAAGCCTCCAGAGCCTGCTGTTTGGTGGACAGTTCCTGGTGGATTCTGACATCACACCTCCAGAGCCTGTTGTTTGGTGGACAGTTCCTGGTGGATTCTGACACCACGGCTCCAGAGCCTGCTGTTTGGTGGACAGTTCCTGGTGAATTCTGACATCACACCTCCAGAGCCTGTTGTTTGGTGGACAGTTCCTGGTGGATTCTGACACCACGCCTCCAGAGCCTGCTGTTTGGTGGACAGTTCCTGGTGGATTCTGACACCACTCCTCCAGAGCCTGCTGTTTGGTGGACAGTTCCTGGTGAATTCTGACATCACACCTCCAGAGCCTGCTGTTTGGTGGACAGTTCCTGGTGGATTCTTACACCACTCCTCCAGAGCCTGCTGTTTGGTGGACAGTTCCTGGTGGATTCTGACATCACACCTCCAGAGCCTGTTGTTTGGTGGACAGTTCACTCAAAAAAAATATTACTTACTTTTACTCAAATCAAGTAAACGAATTACTTATTTTAAGTAATTTTTAAGTAAAAAAGTTTGTCACCATAGCAATCATGATAAGTAATTTATAATATTTATTAGTAATTTTAAGTAATATAATTCTATAGGTATAAAAACAGTGACGAGTAAATAATTTACTTAAAATAAGTAAAAAAAAAATGATTTACTTAGTATTTGAAATACAAAGCCTTTTGGGTAATTCAGAAGTGGTTTCGAGTAGACATTTACATAATGAAAGTTTCCAAATTAAATAATTGATATTCCTCTGATTAGATAGAACCTGACATAATTGATTGTCATGTCAGAATTAACAGAATTTTTATAATAAGGACTTTTCTATGTAATAGTCGACTCATTAAATTCTACCTACATTGTTGTAAGCATGTTGATTTCTAGTTTCGATTGCTTATATTTTCATTAATTATTTATAATAGTTTACCTAAAACATTTATACTAGATTACTCTAAACAATGTAAATTGAGATATTTATATCTCTTAATGAATATGTCATTTAATTGTAACAAAAATTTCAGATGCAGAATTGTTTATAAACATTTGATTAATATTTTGTTTTATTAAAAAATATTTTCAAGGGCGATAATGGAAAATTAAAGTAAATTAATTTACTTAAAATTACTTAAATTAATTTTTGAATGAATTCTTAAATGCTTTAAGTAATTAATTTACTTACAATAAGGAATTTTAAGTAATTCGTGAATTACTTAGTAATCCTTAGTAATACTCAATCATAGTCAGTAATTAACAATTATGTTAAGTAATCATATTACTTAAAATAAGTAAAAAAAAATTACTAAGCAATTTTTTATTTTGAGTGTTCCTGGTGGATTCTGACCCCAGGCCTCCAGAGCCTGCTGTTTGGTGGACAGTTCCTGGTGGATTCTGACACCACGCCTTCAGAGCCTGCTGTTTGGTGGACAGTTCCTGGTGGATTCTGTTTCTTAGCACCACATGATTCAGAATATTCTCCACTTCCTGAAAAATCTAAAAAAAAATTTATGTTTTGTTGAAATGTTGACATCCTTTGGGGCAGGTCAAAGAAATTAAGACAACATGAAAGAAACAGCCATCATAGAGAAGAGTGAAATCAATGGCATAAGATTGGGCTGGGAAGAAGGACTGTGTAGCTAGTTTTACATAACCTGACACAAAGAGGATTAAGTAAGGAAGGATCTTAAATGCTTAATAATTGCAATATTGATCTCACCTCTAAAACTTGCGGCCTCTGAGTCACCATGATATTGCCCTGGTAGTTGTTCAGTTCATGCATCAGTAAGCAGTAATCTTTTGACATCACAATACAAAATGTCCTGTTCAGTCTGAGTTTCTTCACTTTTAATGGCTTGTTCAATCATGGACAATTCAAAAAACTCCAACTTCATTGTAGGAGGGTAATGCTGTGAAAAGTCTTCTTTCAGAAGTCCTAGCAAGTTCCTGTTCACATGGTGGCCTGGAAAAGAAAAATAAAGTATGAAACAGTTTACACTAGCAACAGAAGAGCATTGAGATTAATTTTTATGTTTTTCTTCACTTAATTCTGAATGGCCTGGCCGTCTGAGACAGATACGATGTCTGTACACTCTGCTCTGTAAATCTGTCATACGTCTGGTCAGCTTATCTCCTAATGCTGGCTGTAACAATGTGAACATCACAAAACTTTATTACTTTCTTCAGATTCAAATCAGGCACAAATTGTATTATTATACTTTCATGTTAAAATACTAAAATCTGATTGGTTTAGACGCAGTTAACAATTTGTTCTATTACCCTCAGCCTTATGTGAACATCACAAAACTTTATTACTTTCTTCAGATCCAAATCAGGCACAAATTGTATTATTATACTTTCATGTTAAATACTAAAATCTGATTGGTTTAGACGCAGTTAACAATTTGTTCTATTACCCTTAGCCTTAGCAACACACTTGACAACGGGTAACATAACGGTAATGCCACATGCGTGGAAATAATGCGTGTACAGTTAACCGTAGAATTCTCAAAATGCCAGTTGCGTGTTTGAAAGAACCAGAATAAACTTTCAATAAAAGCTTGCGTCCTATGTAGCTTACTTGAAAACATCAAACGACAGACGATACATGCTTGTGAGTGCAGAAATAACAAAACTTTAGATGATAAAGGACTTGTAGAGTATCAAATAAACAATAAAGAGGTCAGTTAATCTTTTTCAAAGTAGCGGGGAGTTTAAAAGCTTTCTAAACGTAAACGAAAAGGCGATCGACGATTTGTATTGCTGACATAGTAAATCAAGAAGACATTCAGTATAATAAAATAAATGGAGCCTGTTTTGGAGGGTAACAGTTGAAATTGACACCCCAAGGAAAACCATTGTCAACCTCCCCTGACGCGTCGGTTGTCAATGGTTTTCCAGGGGGGGTCAATATCAAATGTTACCCTCCAAAACAGGCACCATTTATATAATGATACAGGAAATACTCCAAATTTTTTTTAAGACTGTTATTAAACTTGACATTTCCATTTATTTCTCTGACCAGTCATGGATCAAGGCTGTCATAAACTTCAGATTGTGACCTTTGAACTTGACCTTACCTGATTGACCTTCTGACCCATCATCCAGCAGGGCTTTCATTAACCTCAGTGTGTGTGACCTTTGACGGTTCAGTGCAGTCAGTCGCAGTTCAATGGAAATCAGCTTCAGCAACCAGGATTGAGAAATCATTACAGGGCGTTCTAAAAATACAGACACAAATTTAATCATATAAGGTTTGACTAGCTTCTCTGTGCACATTTTAAGATGTATAATTATATATTACATGCAAGTATATCAACTCGCTATAACAACTCTTTGATAAATTAAATAATCTAAATTTTTTAAAACATTTTTTATGATAAAGTGAAATTCTGAATTAAATTCGAACTCATTATAAAACTGCTGAGTGAAAGGTAGATGCTGGAGCTGCCTGTACAGGAAGTCCCTCGTTGTACGTAAATATCGTAAAGTGGGCGTCGACGTCTCCGTGTTGGCAGCCAGGAGGTAGATGAGTTTGTAGGCCAGCTGAGACAGTCGTGGAGTGTCCCTCAGGCAGATGGGGCCGGAGTGTGTCCCCACCCCCCTCTCTAACAGGGACAGGACCGCATGTAGACAGGTCTTAGGGGACCCAAGGATACCTGGTTTTAGAAATATAAATAAATTTGTTAATGTGCAAAATTTCACTTTGGTAAACCTAAGAAATATTTTGCATTTTGAACTAAAATTTAGACAAAACTTCTTTTTTCAGCTTACCTGGATCCTGGAGCAGAGTCCTGCTTACAGACTTCCTAATGTCAAAGCCCAGCAGCAGGTGTGCCAAGTTTTGTGAAGGTTGGTCCAGAGATCTCAGTAAGACCTGAAGTAAATACGGTTCCAGTCGGTTCTCCGGTGGTAACATCTGGTTCTAACAACTGACTCTTCAGACTCAGAGAATTTGAGGTCGGGGTCTTTCTTCATCAAGTCACAGGTTGGACCATCATTGGAGGCCGTGGGAAAAAAATATATGGTCTTGAGAAACTTGAATCCTGCTAGTAGATACATGTAACATATTCTTTAATTGTGTACATGTACTCATATATGATAAATTATTTGGCCGAGGCAGTTAAATTTCAATAAAGTCATTGCTGAATAGTATTACATAAAGATGATAAAGGTTAGTGCTTATATTCCCCTTGATGATGCACTTTTCTTTTTATACAAATCATTTATCAGTACTTCCTGTGCCCTGCCCCCCTCCCTACCTGTTGACTGCCCCCTGTATTCCTAGAGGTGGGCCACCAGCAGCCCCTTGGGTTTCCAGTTACTGGGTGGGGGCCTCCTCTCCCAGGGTTTCCAGTTACTGGGTGGGGGTCTCCTCTCCCAGGGTTTCCAGTTACTGGGTGGGGGCCTCATCTCCCAGGGTTTCCAGTTACTGGGTTGGGGCAGCCTCTACCAGGTTTTCCAGTTACTGGGTGGGGGCCTGCTCTCCCAGGGTTTCCAGTTACTGGGTGGGGGTCTCTCCTCCCAGGGTTTCTATAGTTACTGGGTGGGTGCCGCCTCTCCCAGGGTTTACAGTTACTGGGTGGGGGTCTCCCCTCCCAGGGTTTCCAGTTACTGGGTGGGGGTCTCCTCTTCCAGGGTTTCTATAGTTACTAGGTGGATGCCGCCTCTCCCAGGGTTTCCAGTTACTTGGTGGGGGCCTCCTCTCCCAGGGTTTCCAGTTACTGGGTTGGGGTCTCCTCTTCCAGGGTTTCCAGTTACTGGGTGGGGGTCTCCCCTCTCAGGGTTTCCAGTTACTGGGTGGGGGTCTCCTCTCCCAGGGTTTCTATAGTTACTGGGTGGGTGCCTCCTCTCCCAGGGTTTCCAGTTACTTGGTGGGGGCCTCCTCTCCCAGGGTTTACAGTTACTGGGTGGGGGTCTCCCCTCTCAGGGTTTCCAGTTACTGGGTGGGGGTCTCCCCTCTCAGGGTTTCCAGTTACTGGGTGGGGGTCTCCTCTCCCAGGGTTTCTATAGTTACTGGGTGGGTGCCGCCTCTCCCAGGGTTTCCAGTTACTTGGTGGGGGCCTCCTCTCCCAGGGTTTACAGTTACTGGGTTGGGGTCTCCTCTTCCAGGGTTTCCAGTTACTGGGTGGGGGTCTCCCCTCTCAGGGTTTCCAGTTACTGGGTGGGGGCCTCCTCTCCCAGGGTTTCTATAGTTACTGGGTGGGGGCCTCCTCTCCCAGGGTTTCTAGTTACTGGGTGGGGGCCTCCTCTCCCAGGGTTTACAGTTACTGGATGGGGGTATCCCCTCCCAGGGTTTCCAGTTACTGGGTGGGGGTATCCCCTCCCAGGGTTTCCAGTTACTGGGTGGGGGTCTCCTCTCCCAGGGTTTACAGTTACTGGGTGGGGGTCTCCTCTTCCAGGGTTTCCAGTCACTGGGTGGGGGTTTCCCCTCCCAGGGTTTCCAGTTACTGGTTGGGGGTCTCCTCTCCCAGGGTTTCCAGTTACTGGGTTGGGGCCTCCTCTCCCAGGGTTTACAGTTACTGGATGGGGGTATCCCCTCCCAGGGTTTACAGTTACTGGATGGGGGTATCCCCTCCCAGGGTTTCCAGTTACTGGGTGGGGGTTTCCTCTCCCAGGGTTTCCAGTTACTGGGTGGGGGTCTCCTCTCCCAGGGTTTACAGTTACTGGGTGGGGGTCTCCTCCCCCAGGCTATCTCCAGTAAGTCTTTAGACTCCGTCGTGTATAACTCATGCTTTTTGTGGACAATGTTCCTCAGGGCTATCTTACAGGGATATTTTGCTGTAATTCAAAATATTGTCGAATTAAATGTTTCAAATAGCAGAAGTATTTTAGCACTTAAACATACAATACAATACATCTACATGTATATCATAATTATGTTTATCAGCACAGTAAATTAAACATTTTCAAGCATCTGAGATACTTATACATGGCAGTTCTTATCGGTGGGGTTTTTGTCGGTGCCTTTCTCTGTCAGAGACCTCACTGACCCCTCAGATGACCCCTGGCTCTTTGACATCATTAAAAAGCTTCCCGATGATGAAGATGATGCCTGAATCAGGGTCTGTGAAGTGTTTAGCTTCCACTCCAGACTCTCGACAGTTTTCTGAAGGGTCCGGGCTTTTGGAGACAAACTATTGGAGGAGGAATCTGATTCATTTGAGCCAAACATACTCTTCCACTCAGAGTTCTGAAATATCCATACAATATCATACAATATAATATTAAGTTACCATTAACAGAACCCTTTACATTTTTTCTTTGGTCAATTAAAATGTAGGCGTTTTTCGTTTTTAAATAACTTCTATAACAAAAAATCATAAAAAATCCTTAACACCCACCTAGCTAAGCTGTGTTTTCAATCTCCTGTTCTTTGCTGAAGAATAGCAGGAGTAATCTGGTGCTTTAGTAATGAAGTTGATGGAAGTCTCCTTGGGCGACTTTGATTCATACTCGAGCATTAATTCTACAGGGTGGATACATACAATACTACAGTGGGGTAGTGATTTATACTTTGTAATGATGACTGACCTCTGTCCACCTGAAGGATTGGTTTGTTGAGACAGGGTTGTAGAGCAATCAGGACCTTACAGTGCATGTTAAATGTCCGCGTCAAGGCCGAGATAAATCATACTGCTCCCTGCTGGATCCAGATTCCCTTTGTAAATGCAGCATCATGTTACAGAAAATCTACAGCATGACTGTGCCAAAATTCAAGTTCAAAAATTTAATTCTTTTTTTTTCAATGTATGATACTGAACTTCTTCTTTTAGATTAAGTATAATATGCATTGAGTACATGTAACAAACTGAAGTTCTTTCTACATGTATTATATGTATGAATTATGCATAAATAAATATGAACACTTAGTACATCTAAGACAGCAAATAGTACATTGCATTTGTTCATTCACTACAATAAAAACTTAAAATATAACATTATAAATCTGTAATTTCTATTTTTGAAAAAGGACGGAGACTTTTTTAACCGAGCAGAACAAGACCAGTTTAAATCTTAAGTTTATTCAACAGCAATAAACGACAACGGCATGTGTCTATAAAAAGAACATACATAAATTATAACTTCAAACAGAATGACAAATAACAATTTATGAGAAAAAAAATAACAAGTTATGAAAAAGGAAAAGCATTTCAGAAGCAAATACTAGCTTTACGGACAGCACGGCCTCGAGGAGTTGTCAGACCTTGAAAATTGGCTGGTAGGACAAGTTATTTCCATCGAACATGAGTATTTATACCGAGACCTACTGCGCAAGTGGATTAATTTGATTCAAAAAATAAGCCAGTCAGGAATAAGATTACAAAAGGGTGTTCGACAAAAGCCTTTACAAGATGTTAGAATTGTACTCCCTTGATTCAAATAATCGAAATAAGAAACATGTTTACAAAAGTGAGTTCAGTATTAGCCTAAATAAATATATGAAATAAAATATATGTAATTATTTGGTCACATTTTTTTTATAGGTTACTTACAGGGTGTGTCAAAAAAGGGACCACTTCATGTAAGAACTCCTGAAGCATGGATTTCTGAATGAGACCGAATTCTGTAAGAGCCTGTAGAGCACCTATCGTCTTGTGTACAACAAATTCTTCTGGGTCACTAAGGCCCTGAAACAGAAAATGAAGTTAATACTGTGAAATCATTATTTCCATTGGGGATTTAATTATCATTGTTTCTGTAAGATTTGACTGGCTATAATTATTATCACCTGATTTCTGTACCTGGTCAATTAGTGGCTAAAAGTATAGAGCTATAAGTATAGAGCAGCTCTCAGCAGCAACCCAACATAGGCGGCCACACCCACAATGTCGTCAAAGAAGGAGCCACGCGGAGATGCCAGTCAGTCTGAAAATCAAGAATATACAGTGTGATTTGGCATATTCAAATTTTAGCGCAATCACTGGTTATGTACAATACTGGGTATCTACAATACCTGAAGATGCTTCCCTTTGAGTTTCATCTTATATATATTTCTATGTAAAACTTTCATTGGCCATTGGGGGGGGGGGGGCATCTGCGGGAAGTTGCTATACACTATAAATAACAATAACAGGACTACTTAGATGAATTTTTTTTTCAATTTCTTATAAAGTTTGAATTAGTTTACAATTCTATTTATCATGTTAATTAAATTCAAGTTTACTTTTAGAGGATACATGTAAAGTCAGTATAAAATGCAAGTAAAGCTTATCTAAAGTTGGTGTGTGTTTGGTGAAATCACTTGATTCTTGCTCTCAATAACTAATAACTTGTCTGCATGACACAGTAGGTAGAGAGTCTGCTCTTGAGTCACAGCGTAACAAAGGAGTTGATCCTTAATTTAAATTGCAGATTCAATTAGCAATGTGGGGCATGAGTCACATGTAGACCAGTCCCTATGATAAGACAATTAAATGTAAACTGAGAACCCCTGTAGCAGTAGACTGCTGGTACAAAAGATATACCTTGCTGCTTGATTAAACCTTGAGTGTTGAGCATAAATTCGAAATTTGCAGTCCCATTAGCAATTAGATAAACTTCAATTTTTAAAACCAAACAAGCTTCTAGGGACTTCCCACCATCCATGGGCCATAGTGCACTGAACTATATGTACCTGCTGGGCCCATACACTGGACACTGCCCTGTATGTACCTGCTGGGCCTATACTCTGGACACTGCCCTGTATGGACCTGCTGGGCCTATACTCTGGACACTGCCCTGTATGTACCTGCTGGGCCTATACTCTGGACACTGCCCTGTATGTACCTGCTGGGCCCATACACTGGACACTGCCCTGTATGTACCTGCTGGGCCTATACTCTGGACACTGCCCTGTATGGACCTGCTGGGCCTATACTCTGGACACTGCCCTGTATGTACCTGCTGGGCCTATACTCTGGACACTGCCCTGTATGTACCTGCTGGGTCCATACTCTGGACACTGCCCTGTATGTACCTGCTGGGCCTATACTCTGGACACTGCCCTGTATGTACCTGCTGGGCCTATACTCTGGACACTGCCCTGTATGTACCTGCTGGGCCTATACTCTGGACACTGCCCTGTATGTACCTGCTGGGTCCATACTCTGGACACTGCCCTGTATGTACCTGCTGGGCCTATACTCTGGACACTGCCCTGTATGTACCTGCTGGGCCTATACACTGGACACTGCCCTGTATGTACCTGCTGGGCCTATACTCTGGACACTGCCCTGTATGGACCTGATGGGCTGATAGTCTGGGCACTGCCAAGTATGTATCTGCTGGGACCATACACTGGACACTGCCCTGTATGTACCTGCTGGGCCTATACTCTGGACACTGCCCTGTATGTACCTGCTGGGCCTATACTCTGGACACTGCCCTGTATGTACCTGCTGGGCCTATACTCTGGACACTGCC